CGTATTTTTCTTTTTTTAATCCCATGCTCTCTTATATAGCAATATAACAATACCTTCTCTCTGGATCTTTCCTCAGCTGTCACTTTTCCCTCCAATGTAAACCTTTCAGAAGGCTCTATCTTCCTCAACTCCTCTATCTCTCCTGACTCTTTCCTGCTCCTGAGTTCCAAGCCTCGTTCTCATTCTTTCTACTTCCGGGTTCTAGTCCTCATTCTCTCCTTCCCAGCCTGTCACTTCTCCTCTCAGTCACATGACCCCGAGTGCTCAGTGACACGTGCCGCAAGCGCAGGAAACGTTTCCAATCTTGTGCAATATAAAAACAAAACTTTCTTAAAATACATACAATTCTAATATGACAAGCAGGCCAGCCAGGTATTTTCAGTTTTAACAGAGGTATAGAACTTGGAAGGAGCGAGAACGAGGCTTAGAGCGCAGAAGCCGGAAATAGAGGGGAGAGAGCCAAGCAAGATGCTTCAGATGGCATGATTTAAACATCAGTGGAGGGAGAAGTGAAAGCTCAGCAAAGATTCACAGAGAAGGTACTGTTACATTGCCGGATCACAACTCATGCACACAGTGTATTAAAATGTTTCCATCTACACCGGATCTTTCTGCCAGTGAGTTTTGCGGTGCAATTTTGCACATATGGTGTTTAGAGGCAGGGCCGGCCTTAGGCCTTTAGGCGCCCTGTGCGAGAAAGCTTTACAGCGCCCCTCAGTGACCACACCCCTCAGTGGCCACACCCTTTAGTGGTCACACCCCCAGTAACCACACCCATTTATCACCCATATTAAGGACGAGCTGTGTCGGCCGCACGGCGCCCTTGTTGCCATGGCGCCCTGTGCGGCTGCACTGCTCGCACACCCCTAAGGCCGGCCCTGTTTAGAGGTGTATGCACACAAACTAATTCTATTGGCTAGAATATCTTTACGTGCATACACGCACCTTCATGTGTGTTTACACGTAAATTATGTCAGTAAGCAACTCTCTAAATGCAGGTTTGTGTTCAGAGGCATAAAAAGCCCCCAAAAACACCTCTAAAAGTGGCATGTGGATCCATATAAACTGGCAGTCAGACAGTCTGTATGCACGTGTGGTTGTCTGCAGGTATCACAGGCTATGTAGTTACATGCGCACAGCTGTGGGTGGTGGAAGCTGTCATTGTATTGTTCAGCACCTCCCATCCACAGGAGATTGCAGGAGTCTCATGGAGGAATTTGCGAGACTTCAGTCCGGGTATACACGTATCCTATTTTTTTCATTCAAGCCCTGGGCTGAATGAAAAAAATAGAACAGATTCCTCCATCAATGTTTAGGATAATTGATGGAGGAATCCCTGCTGTTTGCATTGTATTCTGACAGCGCTTGTCGGCTGATTGGCTGCCAGCTCTGTTCAGCAGGGAATTATCCAACCTGCTCCATCGATGGAAGGATGCCTACAGCGGCACTCATTGTGAGAATTTTGGCCGATTCATCAGGAACCGGCTGAAATTTGGACCATGTCCACTCTACTTTATGCGATCTGCCTCATTTGCAATACAAAACACAAAACTGCCTCATTTGCAAGGGTGAATGGGACCTCAGGCGGCAAACTCTGTTTAGCCCACACACATCACTAATCATCAACCATACACAGGATGGCTGGACAGCTGGAAGTTTCCTGCTTGAAGGCTGATGGTCGCTGTGTCAGCATATTTCATGGCATACCTTATTTTAGACACTGTGATGTCATCACTGGGTCTCTTTGCTTTTCTATGCAATGCAGACAAATCATAACTGGTGGGAGGGGCGGCAGGGTGCTGTTTATAGCTTCCTGAAAGCATTACAGCCCCCGCCTCAGTACTCCTCTCAAGAACCCCCAGCACTGATGTGAGTAGTGAGCTGGTTCTTGGAAGGAGTTATTCAAATATTGGCTTGATTGGTGGATGTTAGTCTGGAGGTGTGGCACTCCTAAGCAGTATTTGCATGCAGGTTAATGCCCACGTGTGATGTTGGGCCTCCATGATTGTAAGAACTGAAATCCAATTAATGAAACAGATGGGCCAAGGACAACAAGGTTGGGGAGGAAAAGGCTAGAAGATGTTGGACATCCTCCAGCGAGGAAATGAGGTAGACTCTATCTGATTTGCTGCAACTTCTGATGCACATTGTGAGAAGCTCACAGTGTGCAGTGAATTCAGATTAAGCAGTTTCAGTACAAGAGAGGAGACTCTACACCTGTGCAAGACTGAAGGGAAGGCTGGAAATCGACTTAAAAGTAGACGTAAAACAATCACTAAAGTTTAATGTTAATGTAATTTCAAATGTAGTTTTTAATATTTCAGATTCTTCACCTTACATAAAAATAATACCGGGGTAGACAAATGCATGCTAAATTCAGGAGTCAGTCTGTCCAATCTAGGTACCAGCAGAATTGTATTTTAGGAGCCAGCTCCATTTACAAGAACTAAACAAACCCTCAAAAGTTAGGCTCCAGTTGTAAACTATTGTTTTTTTTTATTAGGCGCCAGCTGCAAAGTAAAGTAATGGCTACCTGGCTACAGGGATTTGTCCAGCCCTGAATTAATGCCTTTTTACCCTGCCATGAAGGTCCTTGTTCAAACAATTCCTATTAATGGGTGATAACGCTCTGTCCCAGTCTCCTAATCATGCTCCTGTATTGTCACCCTGTCACACACTGTCCCAGTGGAGAATACAAGCAGCCATGCCAACAGACATTGCACAGTCATGTACCATTGTTGTTGACTCCAGGAAACCTGCAGTGAGCAATGACATTCAGAAGTTGCAACAAAGGATAAAAAAAAGGAGTAAAACAAGTATTACTCAGACCTATAACACACTAAATGAAGCAATGTTTAATATTGAACTATTCACATGAGTCCCCACTAAGACAGATGTTACAGGCCACCTCCACCAGACCATATAATATTAAAGCTAAATGCCACTTATACATTGAGGATTGCGCTTCTAGTCCACATACACTTCTAACATACACTTCTAACTATCCATGTCAGCAGTGTGATGCATCTTCCAGTAAACAGTTGTATCCTTGCTATATCCCATACTGTACAAAAAGAGAAGGGAAGTCAAAGCTTCTTCTACCCATTCAGCATGTATAATCTCCTCTCTGCTTTTCCTCTCAGTGCTCACTCCCCCTCCCAATTCTCCTTTGCAGAACAACACATCCTATTACCTGTCAGGTGGACTGCCGGCATCCTACATAGAAACAACTTTACACAGTACACCGATTTCAGCTGAGATGTAGATCAGGCATATTCTGTCTCTAAGTTCTATCTGATGCCCACATAAAAGGTATCAAAGGTCTAAAAGGCAACCAGTGACCACATTTTCCACTTCCTTTCCCCTATGCCTTTTCACATCACTTCTGAATATTGAACACACTGTCATAGACTTGTCACCCTGTGGCCTTTTCCATACACTGGGTGCTGGGCACATACTGCCCAGTGCTATACCCTCCGCACTCCTCTTCTGCACGTACTTCCCACTGTCATACCCTTTGCATTTCTCTCCTGCACATACTGCCGGGTGTTTTACTCCTCTCTAATACATACAGCCCGATGTCATACCCTCTGTATTGCTATACTGCACACACTGCCCGGTGTCATACTCTCTGTACTACTCTCCTGCACATACTACCCAGCATCATATCCTCCACACTCCCATCCTGAACATACAGGCCACTGTCATACCCTCTCCACTTCTCCGTCTGCCATCAAATCCTCTGCTCTTTTGCATATTCTTTCCACTGACATACCCTACTCATTTCTCTCCTGCACATACTTCCTGGTATCATATCCTCTGCACTCCTCTCCTGCACATACTGCCCAGTGTCATACCTTCCGCACTTCTCTCCTGCACATACTGCCTGGCAGCATACCCTCCACACCCCTCTCTTGCACATACTGCCCGGCCTCATTTCCTGTGCAGTCCTTTGCTGCCCATATTGCCCACCGCCATACTGTCCACACTCCTGTTCTGCACATATTACCCAGCATGGTATCCTTCACATGCATCTCCTGCACATACTGGTCAGAATCATATGCTCTGCACTCTTCTCCTGCACATACTATCCAGCTTCATACCTTCTGCATTACTCTTCCGCATATAACTCCCACTGTCATACCCCCCACATGCTGCCTGGCATCATACCCTCTGCACTCCTCTCCTGCACATACTGCTTAGTATCATACCCTGTGTAATATTCTCCTGCACATGCTGCCCAACATCATACCGTACATACTCCTCTCCTGCACATACTGCTCAGCATCATACCCTGTGCAATACTCTGTCTGCCATCCAACCCTTCTCTTCTGCTCATACTGCCTGCCGTCATACTCTCTAACTCTACTTTTGTATACTCTTTGGCTGTCATAGGCTCTATTTCTCTCTGACACATACTGCCCATCATCATATACTCTGCATTCCTCTCCTGCACATATTGTTCAGTCATACCCTCTGCATTACTCTTCTGCACATAGTGCCAAACATCATACCCTCTACACTTCTTTCCTGCACATACTGCTCAGCATCATACCCTGTGCAATACTCTGTCTGCCATCCAACCCTTCTCTTCTGCTCAAACCACCTGACGTCAAACCCTCCGCTTTTCCAAGGCAGAGGAAGGCTGCAAAAACACATGTAAATGCTGCCTAAGTCCCCCTGACAGCTTTTCTGATCTATTCTGGTGCATTTCACAGTCTAGTGTTATATTTGAAGGTGGCACCACATTTGATGTGACCACCCTTTGGATAATCCCTTTTATGCATAACTCTCCACGAATCAGATGAGAATCATTTGTGGCACATGTTTAGAAAACTATTTGCTCAGGAATTTGTAGCAGATTTCCAAAAACTGTTGGGAAATCTTTGTGATAATAAATAGTGACAAAATAAAGCCCTGTAATACTAAATTCTTAGCAGTACTTAGCATGTTTGTGATTTGTTTGTAAAATTGCCTTTTTTCCTAATATATTTTCAGTGTTTTTGCTGTGTAAAAATTACAAATGGATACAACAGATTGTCTGGAAGAGCCATCAGAGATGACTGAAGAGATGAAAAGTTGGATGGAGAAGGCTTTTCAGATGGTACGAACAATTGCAAAAGACACTGTAACTCCTCTCCATTAAATGCTCAATTTTATCCAGACTTGCAATACCATAAAGTGACACTACACTCAGGAGTTAAACTCTAAAAATGCATTCAAGGTCCCTAACTATTATCACAAATGTATCACTCAGCTGTAGATCTTCAAATAATCTCTGATTTAGTGCTGACACTGTCCTTCCTTCTGGGTGGATACTTTTGTTCCCCATGGTCCCCGTGTGTTGTAAAGTTGTCATCGCTTCAAGCTTGCTCTCGTGATGGACTACAATCTCACGTTTAGTTTACTAATTTGTATTGAAATTGTTGTCCATCACGGGAGTGAGCTTGGAGCTGTGACTACTTTACAACACACACAGCACCACGGAGAACAAAAGTAGCCACCCAGAAGGAAGGACAGTGTCAGCACTAAATTCAGATTGATCAGAGATTAAATTCAGAGATGATCTGAGGATCTACAGCTGAGTGTATACAGTAAGATACATTTTTGTTAATATTTAATGTATGTGAATGTATTTTTAAGATTTAACTCCTGATTTTAGTGTCAAACTTTAGGGTATACAGGTTTCAGTTTTTTTTTTTTTTCATTCAGCAAAAAATATAGCACAAGTTCCTGCTTTAATGCTTACAAGCGTTGATCGAGGAATCCCCTGCAAGCTGCTGTCATAATACCCGTACAGAGCCTGCAGCTGATTCCGACCTTCTCCTTTGATCAGCTGATCAAGGGATGCCGGGCTAAAGGGTGCCAACAGCGCAACCCACGCAGGAAATTTCCACTGGTTCATCAAGAACCGGCAAAAATGTGTTGCACGTTTAGCCTGCATCCACATTACACTAGCAGCAGCCTGAACCATTGACGCACAGTAGGATAGATCTATGGATGTGTATGCCAAATGTTACCCCTACCATTTTTTGCAGAAGAAACAGGCAATGTTTTTCCAGTTTAGTGTTAGTGATTCATGGCCAGCTAACATCATTTACCTGTTCTTGGCTGACAGGAGTGGAATCTGGCATGGTGTTCAGCTGTAGTAGCCTGCCCTTCTCAAATTTGGTTTGCTCTGCTTTTAGAGATGCCCTCCTGTGTTTGCTTCTGTTGTATAGAGTGGATTTTTTTTATTTTTTTTTAATGTTGTTGACTTCATGTCACCAAACAACACTGGTCTTCTCAAAGTATTTTCATTCACAGCCACTTGATGGGTATTTTTGGTTTAACCCTTTCGCTGCCAAGGACGTACGTCGTACGAGCGGCTGCTGGCCGCAATTCAGGATGGCTGAGCGTCTTCTGTTCTGAGCCGCTGTCATCCTGTCAGTTTTTGGATGACAGCGGCTCTGTGTAGCGTGGCCGAGCGGGGGATCGTTAAATATCAATGATATTTAACGATCCCTCTGTGCAGAGCAAACACCGGAGTGATCGTCTGATCACTCCGGTGTTTGTAAATAACTGGGGACACATAGTACTGTGTCCCCAGTTATGAATGAACAGGCTGCGATCTACATCATAGCCTGTTCATTGAAGAATTTATGAATGGGGACTAGCACTCACTACAGAGGCTCCTCCCCATTCAGAAACTAATGATAGTAAAATATTTTTACTATCATTAGTTTGTGAATGAATGAGAAGCCTCTGTACTGAGGCTTCTCATTCATTGAGTGCTGGGGCTGCAGAAAAAATTCGCAAAAAGGCGCAATTACAAATTTGCTAATATTTGTTATTTATTAACTCAATACAGTTTTATCTTTTAGATTTAGTCAGAAAATAATTTATTTTGTGCACGGATACTGATTTTGGTGTGTTTTAACAATTGAATTGTGTATTTTTATCGGTTTAATATTAATTTGAGAAACATTTGCGCAATTATCGCAGGGCCTACAAATTTAGTATCACCATCTTTTTATTCTACCGGGCCTGCGCTTTCAGAAAATATATGGTTTGGGGGGTCTTTTACAAACGCTAGCAACGCAGCAGTTGAAAATCAAATCAATAGGAAAAAATTGCAGAAAATTCAAAAATGGCTTGGCCAGCTGATTTGAAAAATGTTCCGGAGGGCTTGGCAGCGAAAGGGTTAATCTGCAAACGCTAGAGACTGATGTAATGTATGCCCAAATGGACCTAGAAAATGCAACAACCACATCTGGCATCAACCGTCATTAGACATTCGACCAGGCATCTTCTGCATGCTAATATGTGGTCAAACAACAAATGAACCTGTTGACCATGTTGGCGTGTTTTATGTATTGAATTGGAACCACATAATTTGCTGTTGGCTCTTTGCATTAACAAGCAGATATACACATGTACAGTGGACAACACCTGGCTCACCTCCTGTCTTTTTCCAATTGACCAGAGGTAGGCCAGACACCCACAATGGAATCTGTGGTCAAAATTGGAATAATAGAGCACCCAAATATCCCAAAAACCTAGTTGCTGTGTTATGCAAATATCAGCTACAGCTTCCAAGGTCATGAAGATCCCTACTGTATAGACTTTGTTTACTGTAAATACACCTCTAGAAAGTTTAACTGTTTTAATTGCAGCAACACTGATACATGATATGTTTTAGGCCCAAGATGCTTTGGATAATGGTGAAGTCCCCGTAGGTTGCCTCATGGTACATGAGAACCAGCTTGTAGGACAAGGAAGAAATGAAGTGAATGAGACAAAGAATGTAAGTTTAGATGCATTTGACTAAAAATATATGTTTTACAGCAAAACGTTGTGGTTTTCATCAGAGTGGATATAACTTTATATTGGTTTGCTTAACCAGTTGACATCCGCGGTGTTAAACCCCCTTCCCATCCAGGCCATTTTTCAGTATTCAGCGCTGCGGTACTTTGACTGACATTTATTCCGTCATGCAGCGCTGTACTGAAATGAATTTTATACCCTTTTTTGGGGACACATAGAGCTTTATTTTGGTGGTATTTAATCACCACTGGGGTTTTTATTTTTTTAATATATTAAGGAAAAACTACAGATTTAAAAAAAAAAAAACAGTTCCCCCTATATTAAATTTAAAAAAATGTATTATTACCAAATTTTTTGGTAAAGAGACACCAAACATGTCAAGCCTTAAAATTGCGCATGCGCGCGAAACCTCAAAAAACTACATTACCCAAAATTGGCCATAGGCGACGCATTAAAAGCTTTTACCGCTCATCAGTTTAGTGTTATCAGTGATTGATGGCCCTAAAATGATTGCTCTCACTGCGACGTTCGCTTCAATATGTAACATGTGTAGCGCAATTGTCATTTTCGCGCGCTGGCGCATGCGACACATATTTACTTTTATATGTGCGTAAACAAAGGGGGGGAACTTAAACATTGGGGGGTTTACTTTTTTTATTTGTGACCTTTATTTTTTTTAACTTTTTTGTTTGACTTTTTTATTTTTTTTAACTTTTTTTATTTATATAGATTATTTTTTTTACACGTATTGTTATTGCTATTACACAGGGGGATACCATCCCCCTATATAATAGCACAGGTACACTGACAGGTCCTCTTTATGGAGACATTAGGGGTCTCTAGACCCCTAATGTCACCTGGAGACCCCAAAAGAAGCTGATGAAGCACAGATTTGCTTCATCAGCTTCTTCTCTCTGGCAGTCGGAGCCAGATGACTGACAGGTGAATGCGGAAGTGATGTAATACACATCACTTCTGCATTCACACTACAGAGGGAGAACAGCAAGGAGCTGATCTCCCTCCCTCCTTCTCCTGACGCCCTCACGAGCCAGTCCCGGGCCGCAGATGGGCTAGCGGATCCCGAGATTAAAGGTGAGGGGTCAGGAAGGGGGAGATGGCGGCACTGCGATTGGGGGGGGGCGCTCCGAAATTCACGCCATACAACCGATCGGTGGCTATAGAGCCGCTGATCGGTCGTATGTGAAACAGCCGTTAACGGCTGTAGTAACGAGCGGGTCTTTCGTGCGTGCGCGGACGCAGGAACAAAAGCAGGAAAAAAATGCCGTCTGGCGACGGCAACCCGCTGATGCGAGTCTGCCGTCCGTCCGTTTTTTCTTAACGGGCAGACGGCAAGAGGTTAAAGAAACACTGTCACCAAGACCATTAATTTAAACAAAAATTTAAGTGCTGCCATTTCTAGTCTTGCATAGTTATAGTCATGCTTTCAGTCACAGCCTGCATATCAAAGGCACCTCTGCTCTTCCTGGAACAATGACTGCTCTTGGCATTTATAGTGAGGAAAATAATTGTTTGATCCCCTGCAGATTTTGTAAGTTTACCCACTTTCAAAGAAATGAAAGGTCTATAATTGTATCATAGGTGTATTTTAAATGATCGAGACAGAATATCAACTTAAAAACACATGATATAAATGTCATAAATTGAGTTGCAGTTCAGTGAGTAAAATAAGTATTTGATCCCTTACCAACCAACAATCTGGCTCCCACAGACTGGCTATGTGGTACACAGATTAGTCCTGTCAATTTAAGAAGGAGCTCCTAACGACAACTCATTATGTATATAAAAGACACCTGTCCACAGAATCTCATTCTTCCATTCAAACCTCGCCACCAGTGGCAAGACCAAAGAGCTGTCAAAGGACGTTAAGGACAAGATTGTAGACCTGCACAAAGGCTGGAATGCGCTGCAGGACTATCAGCAAGAAGCTTGGTGAGAAGGAAACAACTGTTGGAGTGATTATTCGCAAATGGAAGGAATACAAAATAACTATCAATCGCCCTCGGTCTGGAGCTCCATGCAAGATTTTGCCTCATGGGGTAAGGATCAATTCGGAGAAAAGTGAGGGATGAACCCAGAACTACACAGGAGGAGCTTGTGAATGGTCTCAAGGCAGTTGGGACCACAGTCGCCAAACAAACCATTGGTAACACAATACACCGCCATGGATTGAGATCCTGCAATGCCCGCAAGGTCCCCCTCCTCAAGAAGGCACATGTAGCGGCCCGTCTGAAGTTTGCCAATGGACATCTAAATGATTCAGAGAAGGATTGGGAGAAAGTGCAGCGGTCGGATGAGACTAAAATTGAGCTCTTTGACATTAACTTGACTTGCCGTGTTTGGAGGAAGAAAAATGCTGACTATGACCCTAAGAACATCAAGCACGGAGGTGGAAACATTATGCTTTGGGGCTGTTTCTCTGCTAAAGGTACAGGCCAACTTTGCCTCTTATAGGGGCCATTGGATGGGGCAATGTATTGTAAAATCTTGGATGAGAACCTCCTTCCATGCCAGAATACTGAAGATGGGTGGTGGATGGGTCTTTCCGCATGACAATGACCCAAGGCAACAAAGCAGTGGCCTTAATCCTATAGAAAATGTATTGAGGGAGCTGAAACTTTGAGTTGCCAAGCGACAGCCAAGAAACATTAAGGCTTTAGAGAAGATCTGTAAAGAGTGGACCAAAATCCCTCCTGAGATGTGTGCAAACCTGTCATGTTTTGCTTGGGGATCAAATACTTATTTTACTCAGTGAACTGCAACTCAATTTATAACAGTTGTATGATGTGTTTTTTTCTGGATTTTTGGTTGATATTCTGTCTCTATCATTTAAAATACACCTATGATAAATTTTAGACTTTTTATTTCTTTGTAAGTGGTCAAACTTACAAAATCTGCAGGGGATCAAATAATTATTTTCCACCCTGTAAAAGTAGACCTGGAGAGTAGTTAAAACTAAAGTGCAGGGCATAGCTGCTGACTTTACAGGATGTCAAAATTTGTTTGCCAGTAGCAGCGCTGTTGAGTCTACTTAGGTTTCACATTTTAGGAAAAGGAAAAGGTCACTTTTTAATTCAGCCTTTCTCAACCAAGTGCCATTGAACCCTGGTGTGCCTTCTGACCTCATGGGTGCCTCAAAATGTTGTGGTGTTGGGACTGTGATGTAAAGGGGGGGAATGAAGACAGGTGAAGGGGGCTCCTGATTTAAAGGGGGAACTCTGATGTGAAATTGGGGACCCTGATATAAAAGAGGGGCTTCTGATGTAAAACGGGGGTCCTTGATGTGAAGTGGGCTGAGGATGCAAAGGGTGACTCAGATTTGAAGGGGCAGAGTCTTGATTTGAAGGGGGCACTTCGATGTGAAAGAGGAAACTAATTTGTTTGTGTTTTTGCGTTGGGTACCCCTTTAAAACCTATGACATTTTAGACTGGGGTACCTCGAGATTTTGCATACTTTTAAAGGGTACCATAACCGAAAAAAGGTTGAACGCAGCTTTAAACAACTGATGGCGCAGATCATGATGAAGGTACCATTATTTTACATAGAAGAAGATCGTCTCCAGATTTTACCTTGCTTTACTGTCTGTGTGCAAATTCTCATGTAGCTTTCAACAACACTATTTGCTCCTTTTAGTTTACATAGTAATTTCATTTGTTTTCTTCATTTTCTCTAATAGCTCAAATATACATTACAGTCATTTATGAAAATTGGTAACCATACCAACCAGATATTTGTTTAATGTTCTACACCGTTCGATAGAATGACAGAATCTGTTTGGTTGCTATGGAAATGCCAACTATTTTTATGCACTGTTTTCTGTTTCCCGTTCTATATACGCTTGACTCACACATTCAGGCTCATTACATATGCATTGTAAACTGCAGTAACCTTTAGCATCAAATCAGATTTCGGTTTACTGGAATAGGATCAGTGATTGGTTGCTATGGCTTACAGTTTGCACACTTTTCTTTACCCTGTGGAAAGCCTGATTGTCTTCAATAACCGTATAAGTAATGGTAATGTACAGTTACTCAAAGCAGCCCATCAAGATTGCAGATGTTCATTTGTAAAGTGATAAAAGTACATTTCTGATAGATTGCTATGGTTTTTGAAATATTCATTCTCAAAGGTCATTATATTTTGTATGTGTAGTTGGGTTATAAAGGTGAAATTTATTGCAGGGACATTTTACCTGGAGAAATTATAGCCATCACAGGCCAGATAATACAAAGTTTGCTTGATTTAAACTTCCTAAGTAACCTCCTTCCTTACAGGCTACACGCCATGCAGAAATGGTGGCTGTGGATCAGGTGCTGGACTGGTGCAGGAAGAATAACAAGAGTTCTGCAAAGGTTTTTGAACACACAGTATTATATGTGACAGTTGAACCATGCATCATGTGTGCGGGGGCTCTACGCCTGCTCAGTATCCTTCTCATTTTACTAGTATGTGATGTGACATGAATTGCACGCATAAGGGGCAAAATAAGTGTGCTGTGCATATGTGATGAATGATTAAGTGATAAGACTTTTGTAATCTTCTTAACTCCTTGATCTGTCTAGGAGTAATGACAGAATTAGTACATGAAACTTATTAGAGTATTAGCAAATATCTGCCCTAAGATGTTTAATTGTTCATATGTATAATTTTTATATTTCAATACATTTTTATAATCGGAGCCTCTTTTAGTGTTGTTGGCATTAATCAGCAATAGCTAGCCTGTAGTATAGAGAGACAGATTATATTAAAATGTATGTATTCGGGATGCACCATTACCATTTTTTCGGTATCGAGTATGAATACCAATATTTATTTTTCGGTACTCGCCCATACCGAGTACCGATACTGGTACTACCGCTAGCATGGAGGCATCTACCCGGCCAATCAGGAAGCCGCTTTGCCCGGAAAGCTGGCTCCATATTCGACCGGCTCGATGCCATTATCCACCGCCCAGCTTCCTGATTGGCTGGAAAGCCGGCTCCATGTTCCCGTCACGGCCCTACCTCTGACCGGAAGTTCCGGTATCGGGGGGAAAAGTATCGGAACATTTGGGAGAGTAAGAGTACTCGGTATTGGCACCAATACTAGTATCAGTATCGGTGCATCCCTAGTATGTATAGCCAAAACTTGCTTTCGATAGAGTGGGGAAGAATTTGAACCTCTGTTTGATTTTACTGCTATTTAAGGGTTTTGTTAGAGAGATTCCCGTTTGCTTATTGTCACCGCAACAACAGTTTTACAGAAAATGAAAAAAAAATAATCTTAGCATCATTTCACATAGCTGCATTGAAGGACAACTTAAAGTGTATTTCCACTTTTGGAGTCAAAATTGAGAATACCCCACTCTATATGTTTTATGTGTTTCTATTCACACAGCACTCCTAAAATCATTTTAAAAAATACCTTTTTAGATAGAGATTTAGCAGGCCTTTGCATTCTTCTCTCTCTGCAAACTCTTGACTGTTCTAATAGAAATCATTATTAACATACAAGGTCTCTTCAGGGCTTTAACTGTTTGTTAGGTCAGATGTTTCTGCTGTAATCAAATTTGCCAGCACAGTACAGACAGGGCTAATTAAGGCAAGCAAAACTCCTCCCAACCCAACAAACAATGAGACTAAGCATGAGTTTTCAGTCCTAAAGTTAACACAATGACAAAAAAAGGTGCTGCTGCTGTTTTTTATTTATTCAGCCTGGGAATGGGAACATGTAAGAAATATAAAGTAGGTGTTATCCCAATATGGCTGCAAAGGCGAAAAGACACTTTATTTTTATTGAAATTGTTCTTTAAACATTTTCCTAGCGAAACACCGCTCCCTCCCCCCCCCCACCCCCCAGTGGCAGTTGACTATGGAAATACTAACCTTCAGTCCTGCTCAGTTTTTCACACTGCAGCTTTACCTAGCATCACACAGCCTTTGCTGAAATGGTGCTGCTTGCCCCATTTATACCCATGGCTATCTAAACTCATGGTGGACTTGGCCAGGATTTATTTCTTTAAAGGCTGTGCAGAGCCAAGCAGGGCCACATTGTGTTATTTTCTTAATTATTTGTACATATGTTCATTAGTTTACCTAATGTCCAGTAAACAAAAATATCATGCCGGTGTGGATTTATTATTTCACATAAACAAATAGTAACATTTCTCATATTGTTATTTTAGGTCTACCTTAGACCGCTACTTTTTTCTGCTCTCCTTGATACAGACCACTGTTAACGCCAGTCAAAAGCTAGCAGTACTTTTTTAGAACATTAACCTGTCCCTTAATTTTGTAAATTGATTTTCACATTAAAAATTCTGCTAAATTGATGTAATATACATGCAGTAAAATCAGCAGGTTTGTGAGATGAAACCTTCAGTGAACTAAAGAAGAAATTGATAAACTAGCAAATATTGCACAGGAATGAAAATCTTGCATTTGTTAGGCTTTTGTGATTTGGCACTTTTTAGTGATGCCTTCTGCTTTTTGTGTGCCACTCTTTTCTCCTGAAAACAAAACCAAACAAAAAATTTTCACATTTGGCAGGAACAATAAGTACGTAGTCATAGGTTTATTTACATGGAATGATTTCTTGTGTATGAACCCTAGAGCCGTAAAATATTTATTTTCCTTCCTTAACAAAGATTAGGAATTCCATTGGTAGTATATGGTTGCCACAATGAACGATTTGGTGGATGTGGGTCAGTTCTGAATGTGGCTGGAGATGACATTCCAGATACAGGAGCACAGTTTAAGGTATGTGAATTTTCTTCAACTGTTCTAAATAACAGCTTGAGTTTTTTTAAATAAAGCCTACTAACTTACATTTGTTAAAAAGGAAACAAGTGTTCAAAAAGTTCTAGAAAAAGTAATTCTGTGTTGCTAACAATAATATGATCATCGCCAAGAATAGTCTTGCATTAAAAAAGAGGAAGAGAACTAGAAAATTGTCAGGGAATTTTAAAGGCAGTAGGTGAAATCTTATGTGAATGTGTTATAAAAAGTAAACTGTGAACTTCATAAAAGAAGAGTAAGTGTTGGACTAATAATGTAGAACATAAGATTAAAGAATAGAGAAAAAAATAATGTTGTTTAACTCCTCCGTAATCTAATATTTTTAGAGCTGCAGCTAACGATTATTTTCAAAATCGATTAGTTAGCCGATTATTAAGTTCGATTAATCAGTTAATCGGATAAACAATAAAATACATTTTAAAAAATGGCTCCAGTAATGGACTACTAGTTTGTATTGAGATTGCAGTCCATCACAGGAGCAAGCTTTGGAGCGGTGGAAGTAAAAAAAAAAGTGTGGTGTGCAATATAGTGAAATGGAAAGTTTATAATTATACAGCAATAAGGTCTGGCAGCGGTGTGCGTGAGTTGGGGAGGAGGTGCGGCGCGCAGCGTGTGTGGAGCCGTGAACAGGGCCAACTGATCGGAAGCCTATTAATCGATTATTGAAAAAGTTGACAACTTTTTCAATAATCGATTATAATCGATTATGTCGATTAGTTGTTGCAGCCCTAAATATTTTTGCTATTCATGATCAGACCAAATCTTGGCAATATGCTGGTATTATTAGAAATAAGTGATGATATGTGATATCCTGATGATGATTTCCTCACTTTGCGACTTTGTTAAAAAAGCATAGCACATCAGCTGCCTTTGAATCTAATTAAATCTGATGTAGAAAGATTACATTTCAACTGGGCATATGATGGAGAAAAAAAACACAGAAAATTGGTTGAGCTAGACTCTGCCACATCCTGCCTCTATACAGGTTTTTTAATGTGATAGTTGACCTCTGTGATTTAAGCAGAAATAAAGTGACACAAATAAAAAATTGCTGGGAGGTAGAGATTTTTGGCAGAATAGACATGCAAAGTCTCTGCTGCCTATAACAAAATCTTATTTGCCTTGCCCTGAATGGGTCTAATGCCTAGGAGGATGTAACTTCTATATGTATGCATTATCAGTGTCAGATATCAGTTACATCATCATTGGCCACCCAGACAGAGCTGCGGACCAAAGGCTGGAGAAGGGCACACTTAAAAGTAAGCGCTGAGCATGCATTAGTCCAAAAGCCAACCCTTCACACAGTGGTTTACTTTAAACTTAACAGAGATGCTTGGGATATGGTAAGGTCAAGGCCAAGCTCGATTTTTCCTGTAAATGTCAAAATTTGCAAATAACTTAAGATAACTATATCTCTGGATGTACAAGCATGCTGTACTGTAAATAACCTCTTCTGTATTTTTGCATTATGTGTTCAGTTTGAATTGCTGAGATTTTCTTGGGAAAAAAAAAACACATTTGATATTATAGAACATGCAAACTAAAGATAACCTTCAGAATTGTAAAGTGCAGAATGCTTACTATTTGTTAAAAAGCAAATATTCAATTAAAGCAAAAGAAAATGTCTCCAACAACTAACACACATATATTTAATGCAGAAAAACAAAATAATCATATACAGTATAACATTTTTGCTGCTTTCATGGAATTTCTGAATCTCCACTGATTTGATGCCACTTGTTTTTAGTTAGCCACTGTAGCTGTGATCGAAACAATTTTTCTTAATTGTAAAGAACAGGATTTTTTATTCTTGACCCTGGGTAGTATGCAGCTACGCTCAGGTGATTGGACACTGGGGAAAAAACAGAGCTTCAGGGAAAGCCTACATATCACCCCTCCCTCTGCCAGAAAGCCTCAGTTTTTGCTACCGGTAGTGTCCCTAAGTGATAATGGACAATTCCGCTCTACTGAGAGAAGCTTACCTCTTTTTGTATGGACTTTTTCTTTTCTTCAAGATTGTTCTAACACGTTAGCTGCTGCATAGTCACTGTCTCTTTTTCTGGATCTGTTGACTCCTCGGCTGAGCCTTGGAGGACCGTACCCGGACCTCATTTGAAAGAAGATGCAGAGCTGGCCTGTAATGTTGCTTCAGGCACTTGATCCTGCATGGGAGCTCACTTTGGCATGTAGTGCATCGCATTGAGTTAGCCACGGGGTGCTATAAAGGTACACGGCCATGGTCCATCAGCCAGTTTCTGAAGACCCCTTCAGAGGTATGGCTACCATTGTGGGTGAGGCCAGGATGAAGTCTTGTCCTTAATATCCTGCTCATGTCAATACACTTCTTACGTGCCCCGGCCCTACTGTGCACACGCACACCATTTTTTCTTCCTCTAAGGCATGCTTTCTCACCGGCAAAACTGCTTACAGGACAGCAATCCTTGGATGCTCCCTGGGCCCAACTACCTATGGTGCCTGGCACAAAAAAAGGTTGTGAGTACCTATTCAGGGAAATTTTGGCACCACACATGGCAGATCATGGCACAAGGGTGCTGAGTCATGGAGCCTTACCAGTTCACATTCAGCTAATGGCTCGACGGGGTGGTTACACTATTATCTGCTACAGGTCCTAGTCCCCTTAGCTCTGACCACTGCCCACAGTCAAATTCTCCTCCTTTCTCTGGGGCCATTGCTTCCTTGCACCTCACCTTTTACTTATCCTGAGAGGAATTCTCTTCCACCATGTCTGACTCTATGGGTAGGATCGTGACCCTTTTAGAGGCCATGGATCGCAAACATACACCCTCATTTTTGCCTCTAGAGTTGGTCTCTGCTACTACGTGGATAGATTAGCACCAAGGTACTTGCCCGTCTTGGCTCTACTTTGCTCTCAGGGCATCCACATTGTGTGATATCTAGAGGATCTCCTCCTGAAGGATCAGTCAACCCACCTTCTGTCAGTCAGTGTCCAATGGATGTTGCAGACATGGCAGAGCTTTGATTGGATTCTCAGCCCTCAGAAATCCACCCTGGATCTTTCTCAATACTTGGAATACCTGAGCCTGCAGTACCTTATGCCCATCTTCACTTCAGGCCATTGCCACTCAGTAACTTAGCATGGGAAAAGAAGGCTCAATCTCTGGATTGCCCCCTGCACTTGATCAGTAAGGTCATGCTTTCCCTGGTGGGGGGAATCCCACCTGAGTAAGGGAAATCCTTTCTTTCTGTGACTTGGAACGTTCTCATGATGGATGCCAGCCTGCCGGGCTAGGGAGGAGTCCCAGATACCGTCTTGGTAAGGGGACTTGATCTTCGAAGTGAGCCCAATTTTACATCAACATCCTGGAGCTTCAAAGCTGGACTTCTCGCCTACAGGGCCAGCTGACCAGGATCTCTAGTCGATCCCCAGGCTCTCTGACACTGATGGGAAACTACGGAAATGGATATTCAGGTTCATCAACAAAATGCACAGGTTTATTGCCAGGTCCAGTGCCTTCACAGTGGATGCCCTAGTAAATCTGTGGGATCAATTCAACCTCTTCTATTCCTTTTCTCCCTCGCCTGCTCTACAGGATTGAGACAGAGGGCATTCTAGTGATTCTCATTGCACTGAACTGGCTTAGGAGGGCGTAGTATTCAGATATGCTCAGACTCCTGGCAGATTCTCCATGGGCCCTGCTGATTGTCTAGATCTTCTGTCTCAGGAACAGCTTCACCATCCTACCTCTTGGTTCCTGGCTTTAACAGACTGGCTGTTGAACCCCAGGTCCTGAGAGACCTGGGCCTCTCAAAATTCAGTTATCACTACTTTCTTGAGGGCTAGGAAGTCAACCTCATTCAAGGTCTACTATGGCCCTTGGAAAGCCTACTTTGCTTGGTGTTCAGCAAGAAAATTCCACCCTGGAAGTTCTTTGTGGGCAAAATTGTAATAATTCTCCAGTCCAGTCTGGATTAATACTGGCCCTGAGCACCATCAAGGGGCAGATCTCGACCCTTGCTTTTCTGTTTCAAAGATCACTAGCCACTCACTCTTTAGGTAGGAACTTTTGTGCAGGGTGTAGCTAACATTGCTCCTCTGTCCACTTACCTGTGATACTGTAGTACCTTAATCTGGTTCTTTCAGCACACCTGAAGATTGGCTTTTCTCCCTTATCACTGTCACCTTTGCACAGAGGGTCTCTGAGTTGTCAACTCTGTCCTGTAAAGAGCACTTCATGGTGTTGCACAAGGATAAGGTTGTTATTAGCCCTAGGGCCTTCTTTTTTCCCCATGGTGGTTTCCTCCTTCCAACTTAAAGGAGAACTATGGGGTCAGTGTTTTTCCCCATAGTTCTCCTTGGGGTAACGGGAGGACACAAACTAGCGTCCTCCCGTCACCCTAAGCTCAGTATACCGCGAGCTACAGCTCGCGGTATACTGAGACGCCGCACCTGGAGCGGATCCCGACTTAGATGACGGGATCCGCCCAGCTGCGTGAGTGACAGCTGGCTCTGCCTATCTAGAGGCAGAGCCAGCTGTACCCGCCCCCTCCCCCGTCCGTTCCGCCAGTCAGCGCTGGCAGATCGGAGAGGGGAATCCAGCCCCTCCCCCTGTCACGGCAGAGAGCCGTGACAGGATCGAGAGGTGAGGGAACCCGGTATGTTTTCCCTCACCTCCCGATCTACTGAGCCGACCTGTGACAGTCTCATTGTCACAGGTCGGCTTAGAACTATGACGCGAGTGGAAATCACTCATGTCATAGTTCTCCTTTAACAGGATATTGTTCTTCCCTCCTTATGTCCTGCTCTAAAACATCCAAAGCAAATTTTTTCTTCACTCACTGGATTTGGTACATGCTGTTTGAGTCTACTTCTCTGCTACAGCTTCCTTTTGGCAATTGGATTGCTCTATGCCCTTCCATAAGGCTGACTGTAAGAATACAATGTCCTGTACTGCGCTCCAAAAAAGGATTTTTACAGGTAAGTTAAAAAAAAAAAAGAATCCTACTTTACCTTGAAATATACATGTCAAGGATTTATTGGCTTTATTGTACTTTACCATTAATTTTTGGGGTGACTAAAATATATTTTCTATTTTTTTTAGTTATTAACAAACACTTTTGCAATTATATGCAAGTATAGATTATTTGCACACCCATGAGCATATTTTGTTTTGTAGAGATATACATGACGTTCACCTCCAGATTAAAACTGATGTATATTTCTGTTTTAAGATCACAGTTACCTACTTTTTTTTTAAATTATATTTATTTTTCAAAAAGTGCATACCGGGATGCAATGCCAAGAAAGCAGTGGAACTGATGAAAACCTTCTATAAGCAGGAAAACCCTAATGGTTAGTGTATCATTTCTGTTTCAGCAGGCAACTACATTGAATCGTTCCTGAATTAAAATTTTCATTGCTTTGTTTTTCAGCACCAAAATCAAAAGTTCGCAAAAAAGAGTAACCATCAACCCAACTGTCCTAACTTACTGCAGGATATACAACATTTGCTTTGTAGCGGCAATGCAGCATCACACCAGCAATGAATCCCTCTATTCTTGATGAGCAGAAGTGTATAATCTTAGCTACCTCATTAGGAGCTACTGGCCTAAGCTGCCTGTTCAGCAGATGAAAAAGTTTTTTTTTGATCAGGGAAAAAAAAAGTCTGTCTACAATCATTTAAAATCATTATTTCATGTTTTTGATCTAAACGAGCTACTTTATTTTTTTGCTTTTGTTTGAAAAGCTGAATTGTGTTCTGCAATCAGAAAGCATCCTTACTAATACTCAGAAGACCAGAAGAGGTCAGCACAGCTACGAGCACACAAACAGTAGCACGGAGGAAGCTTGTACCTGAATGTTACACATTCCTATCCTGAAGTGAACCACGTAGTATGCTATTACTGTTCAACAATAGAAACACAAGTACTTAAAGGAAATCTGTCATAAGCAAAATGTTGACCTTGTTCTGAAAGCATACACTCGCCTGGCTGTTATTCTAACCAATAGTTTAAATTCCCTTAGTGACTGATCTGAAAAATGCATCAGGAAATTAAAGTTATAGGTCCTTATTTGCATAGATGTTTTGGGTCAGTTACTCAATAATTGAAACAGTAGTTTGGCTTGTTCAGAAGTTTTCAGACAAAACTATACTGATCATATGTCTTCTGCTTTTCTTTTTCCAATGCATTCTTTACATTCATAGTGCATGATTTTTGTACATCAATGACCTAGATTTTAAGTCCTGTGGAGTAAAATATTTCAATACATGTCTATTTTTCTTTTTATTATCGCAGTATAGCACAAAAAAAGACTTCCCATTTGGCGATGCATGTACCCATTTTCATGCTGTATTTCCCCCCCCCCCCACCCGCGTACATCTTTGTGCTTTGTAAATATAC